AAAGTGGCACAATACAAAAAGATTAAACTCATAAGAAGGCAGTAATAAAGGAATTGAGGAACAAAGAAGAGAAAAGACATAAAGAATACAGTAGCAAAATGGCAGAAGTAAGTCCTTCCTTATAAGTAGTTACTTTAAATATATTACGAATGAATTAAACTCCTATTAAAGTGTAGATTGGCAGAATGGATTAAAAGAAAAACAAGGTGATCCAACTATATGCTGTCCACAAGAGACTTACTTTGCTCAAAAGACACAAATATGTGTAAAAGAATGCAAATCATAACCAAAATAAATCCGAGATGGCTATACTAATATCAGAAAAAAATAGACTTTAGAGAAATTATTGCAAAAGAAAAAGAACATTATAAATTGGTAAAAGATTCTGTTCGTAAGAAAATATGACAATTGTAAACATGTACACATCTAACAAGAGAGCCCCAAAATTGATGAAGCAAAAATAGAATTAAAAGGAGAAATAGATAATTCAATAATAGTTGGAATTTTAATATGCTAATAATGGACAACTAGACAGAAGATCAACAGGAAAATATAGGACTTGAATAACAATATAAACCAACTAGAAATAACAAAACATATACAGAACACTTCATCCCAATAGAGCAGCATAAACATTTTTCTCAAATTCACATGGAACATTCTCCAGGATCATATGTTAGGACACAAAATAAGAGTTGATAAAATTATAAATATTGAAATCATCCAAAGAATCATTTCTGACAACGATGTCATAAAACTGAAAATCTACAACAGAAGATAAAGTGGAAAATTCACAAAGATACAGAAATCAAACAACACACTCTTAAACTATCAGTGGCTCAAAGAAGAAAGCACAAGGGAAATTAGAAAATACTTTGAGACAAATAAAAATGAAAATACAACATACCAAAATTTATGGAATGTAGTAAAAGCAATGCTTAGAGGAAAAATTATAGCTGTTAATACATTAAAAAAGAAAGATCTCAAATTAATAGCATAAATTTACACCTTAAGGAACTAGATAAAGATCTAACTAAATCCAAAGGTAGCATAAGGAAGGAAATTTAGAGTGTTGATAAGCAAAATAGAGAATAAACAAAGGAGAAAATCAACAAAAGCAAAAGTTAGTACTCTGAAAAGGTCAACAAAATTGACAAAACTTTTGCTAGATTGAGTAAAGGAAAAAGGGAGAAGACTCGATTTACTAAAATTAGAAGTGGAAGTAGGACTACTTTACAAAACTAAAATGAATTGTAAGAGAATCTTATAAACAATTGTATGCCAGCAAATTATTAATAGATGGCTAAATGAAATGGATAAGTTCCTAGAAACACACAAGCTACCAAAACTCCATCCGAGAAGAAATAGAAAAGCTAAATAGATCTATAAATAGACTGAATTAGTAATCTTAAAAAACTGTCATTAAAGAAAATCCCAGGACCAGATGGTTTCACCAGTAAAGGCTACCACTTATTTAAAGAAGAATTAGCATTAATTCTTCCAATAACAATCTTTCAAAAATAGAAGGGAATGCTTCCAAACTCATGAGGCTTGCATTACCTTGATACCAAAGTCAGATAAAGACAACACAATAAAACAGAGCTACAGACCAATATTCCTTATGATTTTAGATAAAACAATCCTCAAAAATATACTTTCTTTCATAGTATGGGGGAAAATACTAATAACCTGAAGCCAACTGCATATTAAAAGGATTATACACTATAATCAAGTGGGACTCAACATATGGAACTAAATCAATGTAAGACACAACACTAATAGTATGAAGAAAAAACTCATGTGATTATTTCAATTGATGTAGAAAAATTATTAGACAAAATTCAACACTGTGACATGATAAAAAAAAAACTCAACAAACTAGGAATAGAAAGAAATTTCTTCAACCTGATAAAGGGCATTTATGAAAAACTCACAGCTGGCATTATATTCAATACCTGGAAACTTTCCCTCTAAGATCAGGAACAAGACAAGGATGCCTACTTTATCAATTTCTATGCAACATTACTGGAAGTACTAGCCTAAGCAACTAGGAAAAAAAAAAGAAAAGAAAAGAAAAGGCATTAAGTTGGAAAGGAAAAAGTAAAACTACTTCTATTTGCAGATGACATGATCTTATATATAGAAAACCCTAAAGAATCCACATAAAAAACTATTAGAGCTAATAAATATAAAAAGTTGCAGAATACAAGATCAACACACAACATTCAGTTGTATTTATGTACAAGAATAATGAACAATAAGGAAATTAAGATAATGATTCCATTTACAATAGCATCAATAAAAATAAAATACATATGAGTAAATTTAACCAGGAAGACTTGCATACTCAAAGCTGCAAAATATTGCTGAAAGAAATTATAGAAGATGCCAATAAATGGGAAGATATCTGTTTATGTCCTGAAAGATTTAATATTGTTAAGAGATCAATATCACCCAAAGTGATCTACAGATTCAATGCAATCCTTATCAAAACCCCAAGGACATTTTTGTAAAAATAGAAAAAAATCCTAAAATTTACATGGAATATCAAGGAACTCTGAATAGCCAAAACAATCTTGAATAAGAAGAACAGTGAGCAATAAGCTTTCTTTAATAGTATGTAACTATAAAATTAGAAAGTCATATTCATTATTACCAATCTTTTACATGATATTAGGGCATGTGGTTTGAGATTTTATTTTTTGACAGCTTTATTGAGATATAATTGATACGCAAAAACTGCAGATGCGTAATATATACAATTTGATGGGTTTGAGATTTTCTTTTTCTTAGGTTAAACTTGTTCAAATGAACAAATGTAATGATGGTACCCAAACTAAAATTAGCAGTCATTTGTTATCTTCAAATAAGAAACCCAAATATCTTGCTTATATATTGCTTATTTATGATATGTACATTTATTTACGTAGCAATTATTTTATTAGTGACCATGTAACAATATATTTCTATATGCTAAACTTACTAAACTTTCAGTTAAAGGGAAGAAAAAGGGAATTAAATATTCAAAGATATAATTTCTTTCTAAGATCTCTTCATAAACATGAAAATTGTACCCTTTAAAATTTGGCAAAATATACTAGTTATCCTGTGCATGAGTTTATTAGATGGTATTAAGTTCATTAAGATAGACATATTAAGAAATTTGAGTTAACATTCTTACCCATTGAAAACATCTAGATATTAGAACTCATTCATTTTATATTAGGAAAATAATAGTT